GACATAAAGGGATGTTCTGTTTTTGCACATAAGAGTGCGTTTAACAGTTCAAACTGCAATAAAGGCTGATTTAAATCACTGTTCGGACGGCACATACTGTCAGACTCTACTTCGGCCTATCTACACTTAGACTTTCCAATGACTGTGTTTTCGACGTACAAATCTGCGTTTGCACATATGTTGCTCCGAAAGTCCGGCGTTGACCATCATCCATCCACGTCAGCATTGGTGGGATTTTCGCCAAATAAAAACAACCCATCAAACTAATTAGAATGCAAAAGACGTAAGAAATAATTTCACTCGAAATTGCTAGCAGTACACTTCTTACTTTCCAAGGTATATCGTTAAAACCCTGTCCTTTGCCAAAAGAGGATTATACTGAGTAAAATGCGATTTCAGAATTGCATTAGTTGTCAAGAGGTTTTGTGCGACGAGGTTCTGGAAATTCATTGGAAATCCTGGCTGCTGACTCATTTACGGTCACTAACTTTTAGAAGATGAAGTCACTAAAGGGCTTGATTTCACACAATGGTACCTGAAGTCTTCGAGCTCCACTGCTGTGAAACATGTATATTTCCCCACTTCCGCTCCCTGTTAAGTGACAATAAGAACGATTTTTTGAAACATTATGATGGTGTCCTATATCCTGACTTCAAAGCACCTACTCTTCCAGAGTCAATTTCAGGTAGCCAAAAGATCCAATGTGGAGACCGGATATGCAGTAATAGTTTCTTAGGTGTCCGTACCACTTCCCTTACCATTTTGAACCCTAAGCAGACTTTACCCAGATCAACGAATGTGTTCTAAGCATTATACAAATTGACCGTACTCTACAGGCGTATGCTCATGTCTAGAACGAAGTCACTTCGCAAATTTACTTTGCACAAGATAGTAAGACTAGAGGAATGTCTTCCCTAGATAATCTTTTATGTTAATCAACAAAGAACCTGCTAATTAGAGGAAAGTCCGTTGTTACTATCATGCTTCACATGCCCTAGGCAACGCAATCAAGTCCATTGGCGCGAAGGGATAGAAAAACTTGTTTGGCAGGCCGCATCGGCCTGACACTTAGAAAGATCCCGGATCACTTCTCAAGAACGCGTGTGCCGACAAATTTACTGTAAGGAATATTATCCAGAGACCAACGAAACTCACGACGATGACGGCGGAAAAGAAAACTCTCTTCCTCGAAGTCCCTTTTCAAAGCGAAACGACGAGTAAACTGCCGAAAAGACGCCTTGACCAAACTGTCTCACAAGCCTTCCAAGAAGCAAGAGTCAAGGCATTATTCTCGTCCAGTCCTGTTTTTCGAGGCTCCTTTACTTGCTTCCATCAAGCAGGTTATATTAGTCGCAAGAGTCGGCGCCTCCCGCATGGCTGGGAAAAGGCAAAGCTAGGAGCATAAACAGCGCCATGCTCGCATATTCTATTGATTCGGGGAATCGTGTGGATCCCAACGAAGCCTTTTCTGTGATTTGTACGATCCTACCGAAGTACCCTAAACCACTGAGTCAGTGTGTGCTAACAACAACAGAAATGACTGCCATCAGGCTAAGGAAGCCGGCCTTATGCGCGCAGAAGAACCTAAGGCAAAATCCTCGTGTCTACCTGGTCCCCACAGCCTCATGACTCACGGCAACTTATTCCCATCCCTCCCCCCCCTATTCCCACATTCCACTTGTGTGGAAAGACATACATTAATCGACTCCTATTTTCACTCGCACGGTTTTCCTTGCATTCCGTTCCCATATATATACGTTCTGGCTTGAAGAGAATATATTGGAAGCACATATGTGTTCACCAACTGGTCTTCTGAATACTCAAATACATAGTCCGCAGCTGCAGCCTTAACTTGGCAATAGGACCTAGCGTCTATGTCGCGTTTTTGAACTAGTTTCGACGGTATCTGTGTCTTCTAATCCTCTGTTTAGTGAAGGATAATGTTCAGAGGTTTAAGTAGTCTGGTTGGTCAATAGTATTCCTGTTTTTTCTCGTGTCCTTAGTTCCCGCCTCCCATGCGAACCAGGAGGAATCCCCGAAAGGAGCCTTCCCCTGTCCGAAAGTGCTTCTGGGTTCGCTTGTGAGGTCTGATGCCCAAGAAGAAATGGCGTCTCCATCTTCGCAGGTGACCTGCACAGAGTGCAATATTCGCCAACCAAGGTTGATAGAATGTTGCACCAAAAGGAGAATGACTAACGAGGAAGTGGTGTCAGTCGACGATCCAGCTTCCCCAACCCTATTATCTTCACCGCCGCCCTTCCTCCACAAGAAGCCGAGGAGCAAAAAGAGCAGGCGGCATCGGTCAGTAAGAACGTTTGTGAGACAGTACCCTTTGCCATTATCTGTTTTGGAGATTTGCAGAATTTTCACCGCAGTAGAAGTCAAGCTTGCACGCCTAAATTGGTTTTTAACGATTAAACTTCCGACAACTGAAAAAAACCTGATTGAATTCGTTCGTCGGTGGAAAGGAGACATCGTTTCAATCCATTTGCCACTGCCGTGTGTCAAATCAATGAAGATTCATTTAAGATGCTTTTGTTTCAAACTAGTGTTAGTGTCTGGACGGCGCGCGTGACTCAGACGTAAGCGACAGCTTTTGTCCTCAGAAGGAATGCACTATTATTCACAGTTTGACGCGAATTAGTTGTGTATGCTAGAATCATGATGCTTCTTGACACCTATGGATCCGCTAGCAGGCAGACTGATGATTTTTGACTAAAAATTACATTATCGCCTAGGAGTTACATTGATCAACCTGCCCAAATTACAGAACTGAATTGGGGAGATGCCACTTTATGTTGGAACTTAACTGCAGAATCCTCGCAGACGGACGCATGGTGACATGCAAGCTGTAATCGAGAAGTGGTGCCTATAGGGGCAAGGCAGGCTTGGTTTTCCCCTTCTGGCTGAAACTGCCCGCATACAGTTCTGCAATCAGAATCGATTAGTTTTATCTGTTCTTATGTGGCTTCGAAAATTACCTGTTGCGGGTGACAGAAAGTGAACTTCTGGTCCCTTGGACTATCTTGTGATTTTGAAGTCCGGGTTAGAGCACCGAGTCTACTCAGTGTGTGCCTAGTCACCAGCTACATGCAAGCCAGAAATGGCTATTTCGGCCATTTTTATTATTTCAGCAAGAATTTTTGGACAGATTGTACTGATAGGCACGAACTAAACTGTGGTGGAGGTTTTAGCCGCACCTTCTCAGCAGTTTTTTTCCAGTTCGGCTCTTCAAGATCGGGAATCTACCACTCGCGGGGGAGGCTTGACCTGGGGACGTACAGCGGCTGGGAAAGATGTATAAGATTCGAGTCTGGTGGGGGGGGTTATATACAGTAAGCCTGTATCTATTGTGGGAGTTGCGTTCCAGAATAACCCGCGAAAAAGAAAATCCACGAAATAAAATCCATGTGCTTTATGGTTGTTTTTTATAATATTTTAAACTCTTATAAACACTCCCACCTTCTTACAAACATTTCTCATACAGTCGGACATCATGAACCCTTTATATTCTATTAGATATAGCGCTCCATGTATGAAATCAACTGGACAAACTAACTGAGGAAGCAAGTACCGGAAATAAAAAGGTCCACTGTCGACAGGAATCCCCGAAGCAGCGAAAAATCTGCGGTATATATTTACACATGCTTGCATCTGAAGCCCGCAACGAAGTGAAGCCACAAAAGTCTGAGCGCGATACAAGGAGGGATTACTGTACTGCTATTTTTTCGAGAGACAGACATCCGAAAACGTTGTCTGATGTCTTTACTTCCTGGTCTTGCAATAGATTCGCACCATTGGTCTTCACGTACTTGGACCTGTATAAGCGCGTTTTGCGCCTCCTGGACGATCTTTGCATTAATCCCACGCTTATTGCTCCCTTAGGAGTTTGTAAAGAATCTCCCTCTTCCTACCTACCCTAATTTATCTCATTTATGACATACCTCTTTTGATAGAACAATGTTTACGCTTGAGCAACTGAAAAACCTTGAAGAGACATTTCGAACAAATCACTATCCGGATACGAGCCAGCGTGGAACGCTATCCGCGAAAACCAGCCTCGCAGAGGACCGCATTCAGGTAAGTCAGCTTCAGGACTTATTCTAAGAGGACAGTTTATCAGTAGTCAAGTAAGGTCTTTTTCGGGAGCCGTGGTTAAGTAAATCAAACAGGTGATTCAAACGAAGCTCGAATTGTCCTCTTAGTGCAAGAAAGGTAAAAATTGTCCCACTGTCCAATAAGAGACCTTGAGAATATATTTCGTTTGATCTGTGCCCAGAAAGCGAAAATGGGATGGTGACTTGCACCTTTTATTGAATAAATCGAGGGAATAATTCTTACTCGAAAAAAAGTGAATACTGGCTCATGATCCAAACGCTATATCATTTGGTACAATTCAGCACAAAGCGACTCTGTTTCAAGCATGGACATGTAAACACGCCAATTCTGGTCCGTTGTGACCCTGGCTACAAACAGTTCTTCCGTCTCAGACTCCCATCATTAATCCTCTTCGAGAATAAAAAAAATTCACTTTTTGCATACCACACTTAAAATGGGTATACCAGTCAGCTAAGCACAAGGGCATGCGAAAATCACAAAAAAGTCATGCGAGGAAGCGCCAACTACAGCAATGTATATTGTGTAAATCTTATTCACGGATCCAGTCCATCTGCAAGTTGCGGGACTGTACTGCGTTGTTGATAGTACTCATCCAGGTGTAGTTGCGACTCTATCAAAGCCCATGCCTATTCAGCAACTGACAAGTCAAGGCACCCCCACTTCAGATGGCCGTGTTCGACGTCTACTCCTACTTGCCCATACGCCGCTGTGATTCAAATCTACTGGGCGGAAATGTGGCCGGTTTAAAATGACTGGAATGTCTGGGTACATAATCTTTCAAAGGATTAAATTAGGACAACCTTTTCTTGAAACAGGTTTGGTTTCAAAATCGCAGAGCTAAGTGGAGGAAAACAGAGAAGACGTGGGGAAAGAGCAGCGTCATGGCGGAGTACGGTCTGTATGGAGCAATGGTACGACACTCTCTGCCTCTTCCAGAAACCATCCTCAAGGCCTGCGCACAGCCGGACGAGGAGTCAAGTCCCTCTTGGCTGCTGGGTAAGTATGAACTTACAGCAATACTGATCCAGAATGCGCTTTGAATGACTTGTAGCACCGATTTTTCATAGACGCCTTTCAACTGTTCCACAATAATTTCTACTTACCAGGTTGGCAGAACAAAGTGGTGCATTGAGGGTGACGGCGGCATACATAAATACATTTACTGGGTAAACCAGCAGAGATATCAAAAAGGGCAAAGTTTTGACCACATCCGGCCTGCCTTGCTCACGTTCATGATTACAAGTACATGTTCGGCGCAAGTGTCGGTAAGGTAAAAGAAAACATTCAAAAGGTCTTATGGAATGTCAGTGAGGATGAGAGCAATGGCGACGAGGAAGAGGACTAAATAAACCTTCAAAACTTCAAAGGTTATCGTTTGGTTTTAGTCTTCGCCAGTTCTTTTATTTGTACGGATGGAACTTAGGACTTGTTCAGGGGGCAAAACAGAGGCCAGAGTTAGGATGAGAGTTAGAATTTCGGTTTAAGCCAGGACTACAACTGGGGTTAGGGTCGGGCTTAATATTAAGAAATTAATTAGAGTTGGTGTTAGGGTTACGGGTAGGTTCAGCGGCAGAATTAAGATAGGGTATGGTTTGGGTGATTAGTTTTAGAGCTGACGCTTTGATATTGATTATGATTAGGTTATCCATGGCACTAATCATAGCCTTGACTGTAACACCAGTTACTCAGCCCTTATTGTAACCCCATAGCCAAACCCACTACGAATTCAACCTTAATATTGACACTTGCCCTAACCATAAATTTGAGTTCGACTCTAACCTCATTCGTTATTCTAACCGGAAATTAGCCCTAAAGCGTCCAACCCACAGCAATCGAGAAAGTAATAGGTGCTTCGGCAGATTTTGAATAAGTCATTCTGACCAACCTGTAAAAACTCAGCCACTTGGGTGGATTCGAGCCTACGACATCAAGGGGAAGGCTTGAGTACAGACAACGCTCTTGACACTCGTGCTACTAGGCCCCACCGGCAGCCGTGAGTTTAATCACGTTGCAGTAGGCTGAACGGGTGATCTGGCCAAAGCGGGATTAAACGCATGGCTCCCAGTGGGATCTTGAGACCCAGGTGGCTGGAGTGTTGGCTGTACTCAAGCCTTCCCCTTGCTGTCGCGATTTCAAGTCCTACCTGGGTCGTAGTTTTTCGCTGGTTAAAAATGTATAAATTACAGCTACTTTAGTGAAACAAGTAGCGAATCACAGAGCAATTATGGGGATGCTTCTAAGACTGCATCTTCCTGAAGCAAAAAGTTGAACCGTCATTAAAATCGTGCGGCCTTATTAACGGAAAAGAATAAAAGCCCAAAAGAACCTTTTTACAAAAGCCGAAAGCACGCGTTCGGATGGCTACCTGGGCAAAATTATTAGCTGAGAAAGATGTGCAAGATAAGAAAGAGGAGCCGACTGCCTGCGGCTCAGTGCCCTCCATCGTGACCATTACTCCTGCTATCCAAGAAGCCGCTATATCAGTTTGGGCAAAGTTAGTGCTTATACCTTAACATATTATTAATAGCGACCTAAGTCACATCTAAGTGCAGTGAATTTGTTTGATTTCGAGGTTTCGCCGCCGTGGGCGTAGCTGGACATGCACAAAACTATTTCCCCTTTAGCTGATGTCAAGCAGCAGTGGTGTTTTTAAGAAGCGATAGTCATGAGGAAAGTCCGAGTCAAGTTAGTAATGTTCTCTAGAATTGGAAGTGAATATATCCAGTTCAGCCTCTACAGAGCATCTTTCCAGAGAAAGTGTTCGTTGGTAGTTTCAGCAATGCTGCAAGTTTGCGGGCGTTGTTGTATCAAACGTAAATTCTGATTATAAATGACTCCGCGCGGTTATACCACTTTCTCCCATTTCGTCCTCTTTCCCCTGAAATTCTATCATGTCACCTAATCCTTTACTTATGTCTATTCTATGAGACCATACTGCTTCTTTTCTCCTTTTCTACCTTGACCAAGTTCGCATCAGGCTTGTAACAATCCCTACCAAAATTTAATATGTACAGCTAAGACACAAGGCAATCCGTTATCTTCAATACAGTTGTCAGAGTTTTGTAGACAAAATTTCATTTGGCATTGCCAAATGTACAAGCTTAACTAGAATGGATAAATTACTCGATTCTGAAGGTCCTTGAGGACATGCTGCAACCAAGAGCGAAGGAATTGCTTTGACCGAAAAAATTATGACGGACCCTCATTACCTTCTGCAGTAAAGATGCACCAGTTACTAGCGTCTCAGTATTCATCATGATGTCAAAACAAACACTTTGCAAAGGGGTATATCAGCATGTTGCTGCTCTTTTAAAGTTTCACTAGTCAATCCGAGGTTGTCGGTTCGGCACTACACGGCGCGTTACACCCGGGCTGCAAACTGGCACAAAAACCTGCCCGCACTAGCGCCTACCGACGTAGGAATTTAGTGCGAGGGCAAAAAGTCCTTAAAGGCAAACGATAGTCTTACTTTACTTTGTGCCTTAAACAAAGTAGAAGAACAGGCTTGTGGCTCAGGACCACAACTTAAGACCAGACCCATGTCATATGTTCTATACTTATGATCAAAATCGTCGTGTGAGTGGCGAAACAAAGAGGTCTTTGGAACGGAAAGATATTCAGCAAAGAATAGAACGAACAAAAAATCGACCAGAAACATTAGACACTTTTAATCTAGTAGATGCTTCTTAAATTGATGACGGCCTCAGAGATAAGAAAGAAAGTATTTTGACATTTAGCCCCTAAAAACTGATTTTTTAACCATTCATGTAGACGTCAGTAGAGCTTCTCCCTCGCTAATTTCAGGCATGCATCGGAAGTCGGAGCGATGCAGGCTTCCAACTGAGCAGTCAAGAAATGTAACACATGTTCCCCTGGAATATGAACATGAAAGACAAATGGCGGTCCCTAAATCTTCGTCAGCCAGCGTGGCAAAACCCCTAGACAGACAAAATTTGGAGGAGGACTCGAAACCGAATAACCGACTTGAGAGGAAAAAGGAAGACGCACCCTCGAAATAGGACTGAAAATCGCATTTAAAATTGACACCACCGGTATTGTTTTTATATCAGAAAACGAGCCGCTATTTTCGGCTCTATATTTTTCGTATTGTTATCAACCATAATGCATGAGTTAGAACCGTGGTATCTTTTTGTAAGTTTACCAAGTTTATATGAGGTCTGCCTACAAATTCAGGCTTTCTCATTCCGAACGTGAGGCCTGTTTCCAAAGAATTATGTTTTTTTGTAATAATCGGGCCCTTTGGGGAAAAATTAACTGCTAAACACCGAGCTAAAATAGAACTTTTTCTGCAAATTTTGGGTTTTCTAAAACCCGATAAAAGAAAAACGCAACTGGTGCAAAACATATCTCCGCCCTGACAAGGAAACAGTTTTTACCTCCTATTGCCCATTTCGCTAAAACGTGAGTTCTACCCCCATTAACAGTAGGGGAAAGAAACATGGAATTTCGTTAGAACTATTCTTTAAAAAAGCAGGGCTGTTCAGAAACATAAAAAACGTACTATCTACCCTGATCGTAGGCTCCCCTATAGACACCCCTGGTACCAGAATTGGGAAGTGAGGCAGGGAAAAATGTCAGCATTAGTCAACATGTGTCAAAAATTTCTAGCTAACACGACAAAGAGTTATAGGATGGATCATGCCTCTAAAACGAGCTACGCGGTAGATGCACTGGACCAACACGAGGGCTAGGTGTGAGTCCGGCAGGCGTTACCTGGAGTATGCAGAATGATATTACCTGGAGTGCATACCCACAACAAATGCCAACATTCGGGGGGCGGTGGCAGGCCCAGTTGAAGGCTCAAGCCTCGACAGTTAAGATCCATGCCGTCCCCTACTTTTGTTGTTGTTGAAAATCTTGGTTAAGTGTTTGTCGTGGACCAGAGGGTGTGGTAGTAAGCCCAGGTGCGAGTTTACGTCATGCCAGCCACCTGCGGCATCCCCTGCGTCTGTTCTTCTCGACTTGGTCATGACACCGGGTCCAGGTGGGAGATGAGGAGAGAATGCGGTAGTTGCCGCGCAAGTCTGCTATCACTATAAACTAATTCACGCCTAAGTCACCGTCCCTGCTCCCATCCTGCTGTGGAGCAGACAGTAGACAGTCGAACCGTCTATAGGATGGATCACCGGGACCAACTTTGCACGCTTGTCTGGAGGAAGCTCCAACCTATTCAGGACTTAGATTTATCCGAGAAGAATTGTCGACAAAAATGAAAACGGGAATAACCTGCCATACTCCAGGTACTTCTAGACTATTTTGTCTGTTTCGCTTACGCGGCTTGGCCATTGCTTGTCGCTGTGCCACGACCAGAGATTGCCCCAGATACAAGTAAAGAAGACAAACGGAAAATCAGTCTTAAATCCAACACTGAGGCCGAACCATTTAATATTGCCCTCACAAGGGTCGCGCTGTCTGCTGGTCTTGCATTTCCGTGCACCCATTCGATCGATAGTAATCCCATGAGAAAGTTAAGTACGTCACCAGTGCACGAACGAATGGGCTAGACAGAAAATGCGTGGGCGTTCACTGGCGTGACCCTATCGTAGCTCCTTCTTTTCACCTCTCGGCGCCATATATGTATGCCGGAAGCATAGGTTCTAATGAGCCGTCTTCGGAATTCACACGTCCCATTGCCTGCATGTATGGGAGACAGGCGAATCCCACTGCCATCGACTTTGGGACCTCCATAAGAACTTTCTGGCGTTCAGGAAACGACCTTCTGATACATAGACCGTAGCAACCAAACAAAGACCAACACCGGTGCAGACTGCGCCGGCGGCAATCGCGGCTAATCGCGACGAATAATAGCTTTCATAGCATTTACAATGCGCAACTGTCGAGCTTGTGATTCTGCTTTTAACAAACCGACAAACTTAAAGCAAGCTCTGCCGTGTGCGGATTTTTGGGTTCGACAACGAAATTGATATGACTATTTGAGTAGCATTCTGTCGACTTCTGCGAAATAACCCCCTGTATTATAGGGGGCCTCGTACTAAATTCCAAGGCGGGGGGAGGGGGGCGGAATTGCTATTCCTGTGTCCTAGCTGTAACCCAAACGACAGTTTGACTGTCGGTTTCGCTGATGCCCACCGTGAGCACCACAGCAAGATGAGAGCATGAACGGTGACTTGCTCGTGAGTTCATTTGAAATGATAGTAGGCTCTCGCCGCATCTGCCTCTCTCTCTCCCTCTCTCTCTCTCTCTCCTGTCCCTAACTGGATCCGGTATAGAGCCAGAGTCCAGAAAATCAGAGGCAGGAGAGGATGGAGGTGGCTGGCACAGTGTAAACACGCACCGGCTTCTTGTGTCTACTCCTCACGCTGTTATTCGATCCACCAACAAGGGCACGTAACTTTCAAAACAACATCCCATCGCGTAATTGTAAACCCTCGAATCAACTCTTACGCCGATCGTAACAAATAAGTATAACCGTAGCACTAACTCATAGACTTCTAGACTGGAACAGTAAATCCCAAAAATAAGTCAAATAATGACAGCGAAAGGGGGAACGGCTCGGATCCCACCGAGTGGAGGCCGCATGAAGAAGGAGCCATCGCAGCATGACTCTCAGTCCACCAGTCCGCCAAACCGCCCAAACACACAACACTGGACTGACTGGGAGGTTCACGTTATCTCGTCAGTTGGCAGTTTTCCAATCCGCGGCTTTTAGCGCACTGTGATGGCCTCAAGCGCGTCAGATTGTTTATAGTAAGAAAAATGTTCTGAGTTGTCGACTTCACTCTCTATTCCCATTCCCAGGCCCCAGCCACTGTCCATGCAGGTCAGTTGTCTGGTGCGGGGAATAGACTGGTGACTGACAGAGCCAAAGAGCTCGTCTGCGCGCGCCGCCTACACGAACTGGCCCCCTAACGGAAGCACCGGAATTTCACACAACAGGGGATGGGCAGCGTGAATCTCACATGCGTGAGAGTGCCAGGAGTCACGTTAAGAAGGAGCCGTTGTAGCCTGACTCTCAGTCCACCAGCCCGCAACTTCACACAAACACAACGGAGCAGACTGCTTGGTCTGAGTTGGGACGTCAGTCAGCAACCTTCCGAGTCAGGGCTCTTGGCGTACTGTGATAGTCACAGGCTGGGACCATACATGACGCAGAGGAGCCACATGGAGAAGGAGCCGAGAAGTACACTTACGTAAGCGATGCCATTTGAGTGCTTCGCGTTGTGTGGTGAGGGGTGATGTTGATGTGTTTTGCAGGTACTGGTGGGGAAAGGCGTGAGGGTTAAGTATAGCCGGCGTTTGTCTACCACAGGTTTTCATGAATGCCCGTATGGCCTAATAGGCCCGTGCGCTGACTGAATGTGGGGGAGGGAGGATGTGGGCAGCTGAGTTGAGTGCGTTTGGTGTGTATGCGTGCTCCAGGCACTAGTTTGCCAGTCTCCGTGCGATTGACTTGCAGGTGGCCGACCAGGCCGATGTGTGAGCCGAAGGTGCGATGGCAATGAGGACAGTTATAAACCGAGTCCACATTGTTGGAGGTGGGGATGTTAGTGATGTTCGAAGTTGATAAGACATCGGACGTCGTCTCATCCGTGGGGAAGTGCGAGAGGTCGTGGTGTTGGCGGAGCTGGTCGCTGTGATCAGCGCAGGTGTTGGGGAAAGGCGGTTGGTGTCTGATTGCGAGGTCCAAATTGTCCCATCACTTGACAACTTTTCAAGCCACGGCTCCTAGTGCACTGTGATAACCTCATGCGTGTCTAAATTCTTTATAATGAGGGAGGTGCGCAGAATTGTCGGCCTCACTCTCTATTCCCTGTCCCCAGCTACCTCCCGAGCCGGTCAGTTGTCTGTTGCGGAAATGGGCGCAGTGGCTGATATAACTACTGATCAAGTATGCACGTGCCACATACACGTCCTGGCCTCTCATACGCACACAACAGGATTTCACACGCAAGGAGGTAGAACGCTTGGGTCTCACATGCAACGGAAGAGCCCCATGGAGAGAGGAGCCGAAATTTAACCCCCAAACTTACACTAACGCTAACCCTAACTCCACCTGGAAGTTCGGGTAATGCTACCTGAAGTAAGAGGGATCCATATTCCCTTGCCCAGCAGGGCGCAATTACACTAGAACTATGGAGCTTTGCGACCCAGACAACGCCTCATCTATTTCATTGGATTAGGACTAGGCAATCGCGAGGGGACAAGTTCATAAGTAGATGCTTCCTCCTGAAGGAGGAGGAGGAGGAGGAGGGGACAGTCTTCGGGATTAAATGGAAGGAAATACAGAGTACCATTTATGCCACCAATTCGGAAGTCCTTGGGTTCCCACGCAACAGAACCAAGACTGGTTTGGCAGCAATGGGGAAAAATGCGGCATCACTTTGCAGGTAAAAGAGGCTTCATTCGAAGTATGCTGACAACGGGAACTGCATCAGCCAAGACACTGAAATAAGGACTCTCCCGTACTGCAGGTGGCCCTGCCCTAAATTCCAGAGAGTAACCTATTATTGTGTCCTACCTTCAACCACCCTACTCCTGACTCTAACCCCAACCGTAACATAACCCTAAACCTAACCTTTCTGGATTTTAGCGCCAGACCACCTGTAATAAGAGGGATCCATATTCCTGCGCCCGGAAGCCTAGTTTGGCGGACGTTAAGAGAGGCGCAAAATAATCGGCCGACTTGCGAACGGAAGAAATTCAGTAATTAATAGACCGTGTGGACACGAGGAACCTCTTCGCGAGTCGAAGGGACTACATGGCTGATTAACTTCGGCGATACAATTTTACTGTTGGCGAAATTTCAGATTATGGGGCTCTGGGTCGAGCGATTTGAGCGCATCATCAACCGTCCATCGGGGGTCTGTGCGAACTTTTCAACAAACTTCTTCAAGTGAGGGCAAACGCGGACTTCGAAAGTCCACCCTCCCTTCACGACACAATCAAAACGATACGATGAATATCCAGCGGAAACGTACCGCCTGCAGACTCAAATCTAACCAAAATGTACAAAATCGATGACTCTCAACTCATGAACAACTTTAGTGCACTGTTACAAGATATAGGAGGAAAAGTACAAGTCCCGTGAAACTTCAAAAAATAACCATATTTCACCAAAACAAACGCATGGGAAACCAGCAAATCTGCGGCAGCTATAGCGAGGACCCCTTCACATTATTGCTGACAACATATTTCCTGTCCTATTTAAATTTCTAAAAGAACTTCTGCAACAACGACTTCCACTCGGAAACCTTTGCGGAATTTTTGGGACGGGGGATCTATCGTCTTAATTTTCAAGGCCAGCCAACTGCAAAAGAAATTAAATAAAATAAGGACACGCCTCTACACTCCACCGTTTATCTGGCGAAGGTCTTCAATACCATGAACCAAGATGTGGTATGGAAAATCATGCTGAAGTTCGGACTTCCGGAACGACTCATGTAGACAGTCGGGCAATGCACAACGGCGTGATGGCACGCCCTACAAACGATGAGTTAGCATCTGAAGTGTTTCCGGTGACAAGTTTGGTAAGGCAGGGCTATGTGCCTACCTCAACCGTCTTCAACTTCGTTTTTCCGTCTACCGTGACGTTTGCCTGGCATCAGCATTAACTACCAAAATAATGAACAGCTGCCTAGCATCGGCGTATTCGGACAAGAAACAAATTGTTCAGGGTTAATGTTTACGACCTACTGTTCGCGGATGACTGCGTACTGAACACAATATTGTCACGGCTTTACTGTGTCGTTATAAATTCAAGCGCCTCCAACTCATTATTGTAGGAGGGATGTTGATTTGATCTGAGAAATAATTCCCTAGGATAGACCTAACTACCCCCTTCCTACATACCAATTTATTGGCTGAGTTTGCTGGTCAACTGGCGAAAGTAGGCGTCGTGGCTGATATGGCATACAGGCCAATGTCTAACGCGTGTCACCGCCGTACTATCAGACCTCATCAAAAACACAGTTCACACACAAACAATACATGTCCATTCTAATATACGGCATCTTGCCCGTAATAACGACGTTGACAAACTGTATCGCATATCAGTTGAGTGAGCGGTCAAAAAGATAGTGGTGTGTAAAAGCGTCCGGGGAGGAAAAACGCCGCTTAGGAGTGGCCGGTGGTTCCATGAGCCCGTGAATGTGGTGGTTGCCCCGTGCAGCATTTAGAATGCACCCAACTCTTACATGTGGATCCCCGGCTCCAGGCCATGCCTAGCGACCGCAGACCTGTAACCATCCCAATCGGTGAGCTAGACCATATGACGGAATCCGGTATGTGTGTCCTGACACAGGACGGAATTCGGCAGACGCTTAGGGTGTTTAAGAAGCTCTATATAGGGACGGCGCTGCTTACGCCCTTAGGGGAGGGCATAGCAGAAGATGCCCTAACTAAATGCTGGGGAATCACGCCATTCATCAACTATCAGTGGCCTGTGGACGCAAAACCGGCTTTGCCCATCCGGCAGCCTGGAATATTCGTCCTCTTGTAGAGAATCCGCAGAACAACCGATCGCAAAGGAGGACGGCGCAAGCCGCTCGAAAATTGGCGTGCAACAAGGTGGACATAGTCGCCCTCAGTAAGACCCGACTCTTCAAACAGTGTCAGCTGAAGGAGGCGAGTGCCAGCTACGAATTCCTCTGGGACAGCCGTCCAAAGGCTGAGTGGCGTGACGCTGGCGTCGACTTCACCATTCGGAACGACATTGTGGGACGACTGTCCTGTCTACCACAGGACATTAACGAACGTCTAATGATCCTATGTTTGCCTCTTTGGGAAACATAATTTGACACCATTATCAGCGCCTATGTCCCTTCCCTCAGTGACCGGCTCCAATGGGGCGACAAACGAATTCTGCGAAGATCTGCACGCCCTTCGGGCGTCTGTGTCGAAGGCGGGCAGACTGATTCTCCCTGGTCATTTTAATGCTCACGTCGGGACAGACATGGTACCTGTAAGGGAGTTCGGGATCTCCGTGGACTCGGCGGCAATGACAGCGGTTTTCCCCTTCAGTAAACCTGCGCTGAACACCATCTCCTCTTGACCGATACCCTCTTTCACCTTCCAACGGGGGAGAATGCAACCTGAATGCACCCCCGATTGCGTTGTTGGCATTTGCTGGACGGCGTTCTAGTCCGGAGAAAAGATGATCAGGATGTGTTCGTGACAAATGCGATTTTCGACGTCAAAGGCCGGGCGGATTATCGCCTAGTTATCTCCAGAATGAGACCCCGACTGCAACCTCTTAAGAGACTACAGGATGAACGACAACCCGATAAGTTAGATACCGTTCTATTGAATTTACCAGCTCATCATTTCGATTTCAGAAATCAACTTGCCCAGCGACCAGAGGAAATGCAGGCTCCAGAAGTCAACGCCACCATGGAGACTCAGTGGTGACAACTGCAGAACACAGTCTTTTACACCGCCCTGGACGCCCTCGGCTGCGCATGTTGTCAGTCTCAAGACTGCTATGATGACAGTTATGCAGAAATCAGTAACAGGCTCACTGAGAAAAATAGACTACACAAGGCCTACATCAACTGTCGTGTTGAGGAAAACAGATATCCTTCTTCAGAGGCCGCCACCGGTTGCAGAAACGACTGCGCGAACTGCGACATACGTGGATGGACAGCAAGACCAAAGGAATAAAAGAATGTGCTGACCGCATTATACAAGGCTTATATGACCCCACAGTCAAGGAAACAGCGCCGTCACCCAGTTCAAACGGAATGACACCCCTAACGGGGAAATTCCAGATTCTGACATGCTGGGGTGAGCACTTCAGAACCGTCCTCAACCGCCGATCCTCGATCTCCTCAAATGCAAACGTACAACGACTTGGGCCTCTCGCCTTCCCTCTCAGAGGCAATCAAAGCCGTGTGCCAACCCTCAAGCGAGAAAACACCGGGACTCATTAGGAGACCGATGGAAGTGGACAAGCATGGCGGCTTCCGGCTAATGGACAAACTTGCAACGATATTCCACGACTTGTTGCACTAAGGAGAAGTTTTCCAGGACTTCAAGGACGCGACTATCGTTATTTTCTGCAAGCGGAAAGGAAAACGGCAAATCTCTGATAAACACAGACAAATCTCACTGGACAACATTGCCGGGACGATCCTTATTCGCATCCGTCTCAAGCGTCTTAACGGCCATCTCTAATAGGAATTTTTTTCCGGAATGCCTGTGTGGCTTCCGACGGCGCCGTGAAACAACTTACATGGTCTTCGCGGACCAACAACGGCATGCCAAATTATACACTAACTTCGTGTAAACTTCGTTGTAAACCTTCCAACTGATGGAATAGTTCGGCCTTCCTTTCAGAACGAAGAATTTGGCTGCAACGACCCCTACTTAATGTAGTCTTTAAGGCACTTCCACTTGTTTGGAGTCCCAACCGCCCACTATTTTGTTGTTTGGAATCGTAATCTTTTGTGCGCGGACCTGGAGTGTGATTGCGTGCTTAGATGCTGGTTCACGTCGCGCTAACTACATGCGCCCGATCCCTCCCCCGTTCTTTTTGATTTTGTCTTGACGCAGGGGTTTCAGGGAGGTTAGGGTGGAGAGATTGTGGTAGATGCCGTTCAAGTCTACTGTGCATATTAAGTAACTCACGTGCAGATCGCCGCCCCTGCGCCCACCGTGCTGTGGGATGCCCTCTTGAGAGAATAAGACGTGCTGCGTGAATAGTAACCTGAGCGTCATGTGCAATAAACATTGATCCAATCCAGTTTTGATCGGATGCGTATACTGAGCTCCAGTTAGTAAGCGGTGTATTAAAGTTCCTCGTAATCAGGACTTCATGCCAAGTTATATGTTTTTCTGTGCCCTCTAGAAGGCGGGCGTCAACCTCGGTGTCATTTCTTATAATCATTAGACCGTCAGAATTTCAAGATTATGTGATCCAGGGACTTAAATAGCAAACCGCCCAGACTTGTTGTTGCATTCGCGTTTTTTCGTTTTCCTCTGATACAAGCAGTCAGTTTTTTGCGCATGTAAGTGCTCCTCCCAGGCCCCCTTCTCTCGCTCCTGAACAAGTGAAATACAGGTAGTGCCATTTCGCTGTCATTCATGTTTTCAAACAACCAGGTTTCTGCCAATGAGATGCTGTGGGGCAAAGGATCATAAATGCGACCTTTGAGTTCATCGAACCTATATAATAACGTCTGTGCGTTGATATGTACCTATTTGACATTCCTATTTTGGGGGGTTTTCACCGTGCAACTTGAGCCTCCGTTTAATAAATAAATTGTGCCTTCATTCGGAGTGGTTTCGCCCGAAAAATTCGGGAAGGCGCCGTATTATCTGATTGTGACAGGTCACTATATTCTTTTCGGGGTCTTGTAATCTCATTTTCAGGTATTTTACTAACTGTCAGAATTTCATTCCTGCTATCAATGTACATTCTGGTTGGTATCCTTGATTGTGAAGCCTCGTGAGAAAATAAATTTAAGTCTTTCCTGACTAATAAACAATAATTTGGGGTATCGAGGACGAGGACACCTTGGTACGTCAGCTTGTCGTTTTGTGAATCAATAGACCTTAAAGGGCGCAACTTCTGCTTGGGCTGCGGAAGTTGGTTATAGAGACCCTCGAATACCTTCAAGTCGGCCGAGACTCACCCTTTGGAAGTAATGGTTGCTGGTTCGAGAAGACCCTGAATTATGAAGTATTTCCCTGTGTCTAACGGGTGTCGCCTTATTGTAGTGGTTTCATGCCCTGAGAAAGTTGAAGTACTGTCATCACGAGCTGGCGACGGCACAGACCGTGTATTACCGAGCCTCTCCACCCCAGGTTAGAAGAAATTGTGCGTGGAGGATAAAACCTTGCTGCAGAGGGATTGCGACACAAAGAGACGGTGGAAGGCGGCGAAGATGTCACAGAGTATGGTGTCGGTGAGTGTGATCAAGGTGATATCCTGGATTTAAAATCAGAAGACGTCATTTTCACAGGAGAACTCAGCATGGCCGCCTGTAATAGTCAGAAGCCTCAGACCAACGCACCTACTATCTTAGTGATCGTTCGTTCACCTTGTTTACAACAAAACCCGGGACTTCCATTCGAGCTAATTTCAGGCGTGCTGTGCTTCGCGCAGTTCGCAGCTGGGAGACAATCCCCACACGAGAGGCAGCCGCTACGCCCTCCGCACATCTGTCCATGAAGGACTGGCACCGAAGTGTCTACGTTGCAAAACTCCAGTGAATACTGAGTCTAGCAGAAACGTTAAGTAACGCTGTCACAAGTAAATGGCGAGGGTGCTGGTCAACGACTGTCACCAGCTCTTGCGCAAATACCGAGCTGTCACTGAACATGATGGACGGAGCGCACGACACCACCAGGCCTATCTTTTGCTGCTTATCTCGGCAGAACAACATCCACTCTCGCAAAAACAAGACAGGAGTTTACGTACACGAACCTGGAGCGGAACTTCAGAAGACTGAAGTCCAACTCCAACACAAACAAACATGTGGTGAACAACATATCATCCAAGCAGGTAAGCAAACAACAACTGAGACTTTGAGTCATAAAACCACTTTCAGCACGGAGGATGCTAAGCCAGCCGAATTCATCGCTGTACTTGAAGCCCTGCCAGTAAGAACCAACGCGATCGATAAAGATGGACAGACTGTGCGTAAAACTCCACCTCTCCATTGATGGCAAACAGGCCCTCCAATAGTACCTCGCTCGGCGCTTCCCACCCTCAAAGGAAGAGTGACCGTCGTGATGAACAATGTCGATTACATCAGGAAGCATAGACCCTCCATGAACATCATCAGTCCTACAAATTTACGCCTTCCTCAGAGGTCAAATAAACGATCAGTCATCTAATTGGACCACTTAACCAATTCAGGCGCGACAAATATCGTTAAAGGATAGACCACCGACGAAAGCGAATGATAAACCACTTGTGCGGTTCTATGGATCATGTAAAATCCCAAGCCGAGCTTTTCCCTTGGCTAATGGTCGTCTTGAAAGGCCACCTCACTTGTAATCCAGCCAACAGATAACCGCGAAACTAAACTTTCCTCATGAGGAATCAAGGACCCCCCACCAACTCGGTCCTTCATTTCCTCGTCGACGAACGAAAAAAACTGCCAGACCTAACTAACTTATGGTATCATTCGATGTGTTCTCATCATTCCTCTCCATCCCACCGGGATTGGCTCTTGACGTTTTACGCAAACGTATCGGAGAGAAGTGCGACTAAACGAGGAAACCTCTGAAAGTCGAAAATGTAATGTAATTCTTCGTATTCTACCAACGAGCGTTTTTCTCCTTCAGTGGCAGAACATACAAACAGACCAAAGAAATACCGACGGGTTCCCCAATATGTGGCCTAGTTGCTGAATTTGTCCCATGAGAGCTGGAGAAGTCGCTTTCAGCCATTACGAATCTTCCGTTTTAGGGCTGAAACGTGAGTGGAACGTCTGGCATAAGCGGGAGCAGCAACCTATCAAGTTATCAGGACTTGTTTAATGGTATGTTGTAGGCAGACCGTCCTGCCGCTCTGTTGGAGGGATCGTCTCTGGGTCAACGTCTGTCGTCCTGATGAAACAGAATGGAGAAAAGGTTGGTTTATTATTTTGTGAATCGTTAGCTTTTGATGTCGGCATCACATGAGCGACCATTGTCTCAAACGGGCAGGTACATCTTGGGTAACTAAAAGAAGTCTAG